AACCATGGACCTTGAGCTCTTTTTCTTTTTCGGCTTACGCAGTCAAGATTTACTGTTGATCGTAAGTTGCTGTTCATTCATGAGATCATTCTGTTTGTTTCAGTTTCAATGTTCCTTAAAAAGCGATGTGTAATTTTCCAAGGAAAGTTAGTCCTCATGGCCACTCATGCCTTCAGGTGGTGGTGGAGGATCTCAGTGGGGCTAACCGCAAGCCATTAAACGGTAAAGAAAAAATTGGTTAAAAGCAACAGTTTTATGGTCATTTTTTTCAACGTCTGACGATTAAAATCTATGAATTTTCACGCCTAACCACTAACGGAAAGAAATAAACTGTTGGCCGCGAAAGCCACTTTTTAAAATTACAGTGCTAAGGATTATATGACTTTAAGGCATTCCTCCTCTTTAACACATTAGTAGACATCGGAATTTGATCGAATCTCACCAGGCGAATCAAATCTTATCGCTAAAGCCTCGAATGCCATCAAACTCTACTTACAGTTCTTGTAATTGTTGCATTGATCGAAATGTTCCAATGGCGATATTTTCCAAGTCGCAATTGTTCATTGAACTACATACAAAGTTATGCAAAAATAAATAAATAAATAAATAAATAAAAGAAAAAACTCAAAACTAAGCAAGCTGGTGCTGTAGAAAGAAATTATGGAAGAATGACACTCATGTTATCCAAAGACTCCTTGGGACTTAATGAAGAAACCGACCTTGGAGAGTTTCGGAAGAATTAATATTTTTTAATCGCCAATGAATGCCTGTTTCTGAAATACAAGTGTCTTAACTAAGGATACTGTTAGGCATTTTCCGTGAAAATACATGAACAAAACGTCGAAAACAACGTCAGAAGTAACCACACCCTGAGACAAATAATAGTTTGTTCTATGGCTGCAGTAATTTATATATTTAGCCACCGAACTTACAGACTTTTCATATCCATAAAACCAGCGAAGATATCTGATAGCAGAGATGGTCCAAGTGGATTTAAATCAAGGTATCTGTAAGAGTGAAACGTTTGTAATCAGTACAAACTTTCTTCTACATTCAGGTAGGTCGCTGTGATAAAAAAGCTTAAGTTACGGCGCTTTCACAAGTTGAATATCGTTTGGAGAATGACATTTTCCTTGTGAAAATCCCGAATTCTGATTCGCTAAAGTTTTGGACATATATCAGTTAAAGTGCAGTAATTGAGAGGTTTGGTCAGTAAGATAGCTGACTTGTTTCGTGGGAGTTTACATTTGACTCAAGGAAATAATTTGTCGACTGGCGAAGTTCATTTTCTAACTGTTTCAAGAATCTTACTTAATATTCCGGAACTTCAGAATGATATCTCATTTAAATTACCGTTATTACTTACAATTTCTCCAGAACAGTCAGGTTCCTAAAAGTGTCTTCCGAAATTGTATTCAGGGAACAACTCGAAAGATCTCTAAGGAACAAATTAAAAATGTCAATAAGAATGCTAATCATGATTATCATTTGACCTGTAGGGCCCCCCTGGTGAAAGCTGACGCGCGAAGGGCCGGGCAGGTTGACGTAAGCCGGTCCGGAATAGTAGTTCGGCTCTTAGCTTGCAAGGCTTTGTTGCAAGACACTTAAAAGGAAAAAGAGAAGAGAGTAAAAATACTGGGTTTTTTCGATAAATTGTGAGTGTAGTTCTGAATAAAAAAGAAAAAGGAGAAGTTTTTATGGTAGAATCTTTTCTGTGATTTTCCCAAGAGCGTCCCTCTAAATCTAGGTTGAACAGACTTTTCGAAATTTTCAACCTTTAATGTATGGTGATATGATAAAAATGCTTATTGACTGAGTTTGTTCAGGCCGAATGGGAAAAAATCTAGCTCTCAATTATAGCGTACATATCAAATTTAATATAGTTCACCGCAATTCGGGCGACATTGACGAGCTTTTAGGTTAATGAAGGCAATGTTAATGAAACCTACCAAAACTTCACGAGACTTCAATGAAAAAAAACATTTAAACGAAGCTTGGTTTGCGAAAGGATTAACGCGGCGAATACCAAAATGAAATGCGCTTTAGTTTGAGTAGAGACTACTTGTGAAATGGTCCAGTTAAGTCATAATTGGTGTTATTTTCCCTTATGATTAATTGTGTATATGGTTTTTTTAGTCTTTCAAATCTGAGAAACCATCTTTCTTTGTTGTGTGGTACTGAATGAAGCTCTGAATAAGCTGAGTTTGAAATATTCCAACTTATCTTAATATCTATATATAATTGACATACACTTCAGTCAATGGGATATTATCTAACCATTATTAATATATCACCGGGTGATACATAAGACACTAAAGGAGGTTAGGATACGCCTAGAAAGGTGAAGGATGACTAACGTTTTCATATCACTTACAGTTTCACTGAATTGTTTGGGAATTTGGCTGGAATGTGTCCATGAAAATGACATTTCACTATCACCCTAGTCCTACCAAAGTTGGTGCATGTACAGACTTGTTGGCTGCAAACGTCACTCTCGCATGGTGTTACTAACCACAAGACCAAGATGACTTGTATCAGGCCAATAAACATCATTAATGAGTCCAAAGAAGGCTGCTGGGAACAGAATTTCTTGATTTAATTCTTGAATTCTTGATTTCTAAATTAAGAAATAAAAGCTTATTCGCTCTGACTGTTAGTCAAAAGACGTCACGAGCTTTGTCTATGAAGTAGACTTTTCGCGAAAGTTTGTCGATATTCGTCGTCGACATTGGTCGACATTGGTCGACATTGGTCGACATTGACAGTTTCAATGTTTCAAGTTAGGAAATAAAAAAAAGCTGTTGCTTAGTAATGTTTCTCTGCCAGTAACTGAAGATGAAACCGTCATAAAAACTGCTAAATCAGACCCCTCGTTAAGTTAGGTTATCAAAAAGAGACAGCCACACCGTTGTCAAGGCTCGGGAGCCAACAACTTACCTCTTCTGAGAGCTTGAGTTTGTTTGTAAAACACTTTGAGATACCC